CTGACTTACAAAGTCTTGTGATCTAACATGGCTCCCAAGAGCATGATTTTATGATGTCAAAGTGATCAACAGTAGAAATTTGTTTAAGAACTTGGCACATTAAAATAGTAATACCTCAAATAATGGTTGAAATGGAAATATAAATTTTCTTTTGACATATAAAGAAATACAGTTTGAAAATGTTAAATTTAGAGCAGTATATTTACCATGATAAAATGGAAGATGAATAAATTTATTTTGAAATGTGTTCTTCACACGATCTTTGAAAATTAATATTACATCAGCTGGTTTGATTACCAGGCCCATATGAAAGCTTCACCCTGAATTTAACCAGATTCCACATAGATTACACCTAAAACCTATAGTCTACTTATTATAAAATTCAGGTGGATTCCAGGTGGATTCGTGGTGGAGTATGTAGGAAATATGCAAATTATTCCATGTATTATTAGGAGTAATCTGTTTAATCTACCTTCTTTCATAATCTGTTTATTCTTCTTATTTAGCCTAGATTCCCCCTATTATCAATTTTAGGCAGATTCAGGGTGGAATACAGCTGAAGTATGCAAATTACTGTTATTAGGCAGAATCTTTTCTTTTGCCTAATTCGATGGAAATACCTGCAGAAATGGAAATGTATACTGTTATTCCATCTTACAGACTTTAGGTTGATTTCTTGCAGATTTTTAGGCGAAATATCATGTTTTTGAGGGAAGTTAAACAAAACAAAAATACTATATAACATAAATACTGTACAACATAAATACTATACCAACAGCAAATTTGAAAGAGAAATACAAGGAAAGGCTTGGAAAGAGGTTACTTTTCCTAAACTGAACAATAGTTATCAGAAACAGGAAATATATAAATTGCTAACAATCTTTCAAATTGTACAAGCAACAAACAATAAATTTTATTTTATCTTAGTGATATTTTTTATTGAAATGTCAGATAACATGATCACAAGATATTGCTATATTTTCAGAAATTTTGGCAAATTGTCAGAAATTTCAGTCAAAAAATTGCACTGATATTTTCAGATTTTGGTAAAATCACCTGACATAATTTAAGACATTTCAGTCACAATTTCACTTGGGTATTACTGTTGTAGAGAATGTTTTAATCGGAAGCAAAAGACAGTTATTTTTTCAAGTCAAGTCCAAAATCCACCTTGCACCAAACTTTCCATATCCAAAGATTCATATGCTTGTAGTTCTTTTAATAAAGTTCAAAATTCCATCTAACATTTCTGACAAAATCAGTCTTGAAGTAGGAAAAGCAGAACCTTTCCATTTAAGTTATCCCATAGGATGAATATAAGAAATAGTACGTATAAATATGAGACAGATTCAGTCTGTCACCTTAGCCAGTCTCAGTCTGTCTAAAGTCGGGTTGAAAATTTGGTGTTTATAGACAGAAAACACTCTGAATCCAACTAAACTCAAGCTATGTCTGCGGCTATGTTGTGTCTGGAGGAGATACATTATAAACCCATTGCCCAATAAAAGCAAACCAAAGCATCCTGGCCAAACACCTTGAAAAGCAGACTTATTTAATTCTCAGTAGATTTTAAATCTGAGTTATTTGACCTATGACCCTATATATCAGGAGTCTAAAGACAAATGTCAAGAGTTGACACTGAAATCTCAATAGTCAGTCATCTTTGGAAGCCATCAGCTTTGTAGCTTTGTTTATTATTCATAGAGGAGATAAAAGCATCAAGAGAAAGACTAGTACAGTATTTTGTAAGAGAAAGACTAGTACAGTATTTTGTAAGAGAAAGACTAGTACAGTATTTTGTAAGAGAAAGACTAGTACAGTATTTTGTAAGAGAAAGACTAGTACAGTATTTTGTAAGAGAAAGACTAGTACAGTATTTTGTAAGAGAAAGACTAGTACAGTATTTTGTAAGAGAAAGACTAACTAGTACAGTGTTTTGTAAGAGAAAGACTAAGACAGTATTTTGTAAGAGAAGGACTAGTACAGTATTTTGTAAGAGAAGGACTAGTACAGTATTTTGTAAGAGAAAGACTTGTACAGTATTTTGTAAGAGAAAGACTAGTACAGTATTTTGTAAGAGAAAGACTAGTACAGTATTTTGTAAGAGAAAGACTAGTACAGTATTTTGTAAGAGAAAGACTTTTACCATATTTTGTAAGCAATGGACAAGCAGAGAGTGAGACATTACTGATTTTTGTACAATAGCTTCTTTAGGTATTATGACTGTATATTTTGTATGTTAAACAGAAAAAAAGTATTATTCTATACTTTTTTTATATTTTTTAAAAATAACATTGTTTTAACTCCACGAATCATTTTAAATGTAGAAATATACCCATTCAACTGTGAGAGTTTTATATAAATATGGTTTCTAACTTTTTATATCCCAACGAGATCAATCTGGTCACAAGGCATCCAGACAGATGAATAGAACATATCCAGTGTTTTCAAGGATGTTGACTTTGTATACATTGCATTCATCAGTTAACAGAACATATGTTATAACATATCTTTTATCACATTTCAAACCTTTAACAAATTACAGGGTTCATATGGTCTGTAAAGGTCTTTAACAGTTTAGGGAAAATGAGGTAGCATTTTCAAGGCCTTGAAAGTTTGAGGTCTTTAAAAGTCTTTGAAAATTGAAATAACCAAAACATTTTAATTTCTTTGCATAATTACAAATAAAATTGTTTGAGGTTGTTAAATTCAGATGTAGTCAAGTTTTCCTGGTTTCTTTCTTTTGATGACCCGTTCAGTTTTTTTCATCATTAAACAGTATTGTAGTATCATGCATGTGCTTTTTTGTCATAAACTTGTTTTCAAAATGTTATCAAAAATAGGTCTTGGAAATTTTTGTTTGTGGCCTTTGAAAGTTTTGGATATGTCTTTGAATTTATTCAGAATTCTTTATGAGATCTGACTTGGCAACAACCCTTTCTGCATCAAAATGTTTGACTAATGGACCTTGTGATATAATAATTTTCAAATACATCTAATATGACAAAATTATATGATCTTGTTATTGAATCTTGAGTAATTCCAGAGTACTTAATAAATCACTAGGTTAATGTCTAGTAAATTCTTACTGAATTATTTATTAATTAAAGCACCAAATTTGATATGTTTTGCTGATTGAGACAAATTAATTGGCAAACACAATTAAAGTGTCCACATTGACAGTTGGCTCAGCGACCCATCATAGGTTTCCTTCAGGTATGTTACCTGATCATTTATGGCATACTATATGTTAGGAAAACTACTACTACCTCACAGATCAGTCTCCCTCCAGGCTAAAACATTTTAGAGAGGAAGCCCAAAGTTATGATACAGGGATTTTTGGTGGCAGATGTAGTGATTTCCTTTTGATACACTCCTGGGTTTGGTGGCATATACAATGATTTTCCTTTGATACAGGGATTGGTAGCAGATATAGTGATTTCCCTTTGATACAGGGATTGGTGCCAGTTCCAGTTCTTCTGCTTGTGTTGATAAGCATGCTGTCTATATTGAGAGTAGCTTCACAAAATACATCAAGTAGTCTGGACTATGGATCTGATCACAGCTTTTTGATACCTTAAAGTTGGAGTTTTCTGTTCAAAGAGATATATACTCCATCTTTTATTTTCCAAATTTCCTTACCCTTTTAATTTGATGTCAATCTTTTGTTAGAATTATACATTGTCTGTTCTTATTAGTTGTCCTCATATAATTTGGTACCCAATGCTCAAACCTGTATTGGTTACTCATGTGTCCTCTCACATTGCTGTGGCTTTATAATTTTATGTACAAATTTTGTGTGCGCTGTAGAAAACTCAAAGTGCTGAATATATAGTCCGTTGGTGGATTCATGCATGTAAGTTTTCAGTAGTTATAATGTGTATTAAGCAGTGTGTTTGTGATTTTACAAGTATTGGCTGTCACTTGGCCGTTCTGCCAGAAACCTTTTATTAGAATTTATATTGTGACATCTACTTCATTGAGTACTAAATGGGTCTTTCTTACAGCTAAATTGTCCACTCTATTGGTTATAGCATGCATCTCCGATGTGGGAGATCACAGGTACGAACCCTGGCAGAGTCATACAGAAGAATTATATATATGATACTAGCAGATGCCTCGCTAGGTGCTCAGCATTAAGAGGTTAGTGTTAGGACAGGACATGCATGGGATTCTGTCTCTAAACTGGAACATGTCTTAGCAGACCCTGATCAATGGTGAGCAGATATAAATTAATAACCAGTGGAAAATGATTCTGTACTTTGTGACCACCTTTGTTAAAGATCATCCTAAAGCCATGTTAAAAGTGGAGCCATTTTATAATCCCTTCTTCAATGGCCATGTCATGGAATTCTGAAAACAAGTCACCAGAGAGACCAAATTTTCTCCAAAACAATGCCTCAGTCTCAGGAAGGATTTTAAGAGAAATGTTTTAAAGGATTTAAAGGACACATGGAATAACAGGTAGTCCTTCTGATCCTACAACCAGAGTTCTCAAGAAGGAAATTGTACGAGACAGAGTGAAGACAATCATTTTCTCCTGCATCTCACAATACCAGACTCCCATTGAAAAAAAGGACATAGTTCTCATACCACATGTCAGATATGACTTGGGGGGGGAGTTCTATTCTTCACAGCTGAGATGGGTAATTCCATTAACTTCGAAAGCATGTGTAAAGTAAAATGGAGAATGTTCTTGCAGTGGTGTGAGCCAGAACACTGCTAATTGAATCAATACAACAAATGTCTATCTTGATGAGAACTAGTTAACATTAATTATGATCAAAGACACTGTTCCATGATCTTTGACACTCAGGATCATCATGGAAGAAAGAACAAAACAATGATCTAATCAATATTGTATCAAATTATATTTCAGACATCCAAAGATGTTGACTATGTGCCCAAAGTAGAAGTATTAACCTGACTGAAGATGACATCATTTTTTTAACTGATCTAGAGGGCTTAATTGGTTCACCATCGCCTATTTCCTATGAACCGCTCTGGTGGCCTAGCGATTAGAGCACCTGCCTTAGATATAGGAGGGTGCTGGTTCAAACCCCAGTCTAGTCATACAATAGACTTAGAAAAATGGTATTAACAGCTGGCTGGCTTGATGCTCAGCATTAAGGTTAGTGTTAGAACTGCTCAGACTGGTGAAGGATACTTTGACTGGGTGGTACATCATGCTACATGCCTGTGGCATGATGCTCCAGTGCTAGTCATCACTATAAACTGACGCACTGAAGACATTGTTATAACATGACTGAAAAATTGCTATATTAAAAAGCTAAATCACACATACTCAAATTAGTGTTCGTAGGCATAATCAGCCTAATAAATGTTTTTTTTACTTATGGGTCATACTTTCATTGCCATGGCTTTATGATGGGCCTTATTTACATTACCAGGGCCTTATCTCATTTGGCCTTACTTTCACTGCCCCTTATTTTCATTACCAGGGCCTTATCTCATTTGGCCTTACTTTCACTGCCAATGATGGGCCTTATTTTCATTACCAGGGCCTTATCTCATTTGGCCTTACTTTCACTGCCAATGATGGGCCTTATTTTCATTACCAGGGCCTTATCTCATATGGCCTTACTTTCACTCCCAAGAACAGGTCTCATGGTACTTCAGGCTTTTATGTTGAAACCTGTCTAATATGGTCACTTCATCACAGGGTTTTCTGTAGGACCCACTGATAGTTGTGAAGCAATATCAGAAAATGACAGAGCCAGTGTGTTAAGAGAGATACCACCTCTTTTAACCTCTCACAGTGGGAAAGGACAAGTACAGGAACTTTCATCATGGATAAAATGTGGATCAAAGATCAAATTAATATTGCAATTCATCTCGGTTTATGAAATTAGGGCTGTTGTATCAAAGCATTGCATTTGAGCATGTTTCCTGGCAGACATTTGACGTTATCCAAGCTGTGGGATGGATGTTGAGTCGACCATTTCCTAAGAGATCTGGCATTGCGAAAGCCTCTGCTAGACCTTGTGGAGCCCATCACCATTTGCTTCTTTTGATTTGTGGGAGGGAAAATTTTTCCTTTTCAGCAGCTAATCCCTGGTGTATGGAATCATTTCTCCAGCTGGAATATTTTAGACCTGCCTGACATACCTTTGTGACCTGAAGATGGCTTCTTTGAGGTAAGAGGATGTAGCTCTCTCCACCTTACCTCCTCTCCTAAGATATTCCTTGGGTAACGTATTTGAAATGGAAACTAATGTTTTTCTGGTAATGTTTCTTCTGTAACACTTACCTGATTATAATACAGATGTGTTCTCCATGCCTCCAGTTGCATCCATAATGGAAACATGCAGTGCACGCCAGTCATAATTGAAGCATTCACTGTATTTGGCACCGGCCCTTATATTGGTGGTTGGGGTGGTGGTGGTGTGTGATCATTTTAACTACTACTAAAAGCAGATACCTATCTTGTTTTAGGCTGGAAGGGCTGGATTTACAAGGTAGTAGTGGTTCATTTAAGGTGTTGTGATCAGGTAATTGTTATCTAATTAACATATATTACTAGAAAGAACTGGTTTCCAATGTTTGTTTTGTTGCTTATAATTTGATGGGAAATCAAACAGAAGCCAGTATTTGATCAAATGTTAATTCTATCAGTTGTAAATGATTCCCTCATCCTATGCCATAAACATCAAAGACATTCTCTGACCATTTGGCCTTGATTCATTTATAATTAGTGACCAGTACATATTGATTTTACTTTGATATATTGGTAGATAATTTGTAAACAATAGTCTAGCTAATATTGATCACATGCAGTAGCTGTTTATTAAGGACATTATGTACTCTGTAGGAAATTATGCCAGAGGTGAATTATGGGTAATTTATCCGATGCTCCAGCTCAAACCAATGTGTATCATAAATGCAATTTGGTTGTAGTTTCAATGTGTAAATAATGAATCACATAGCTTCAAAACTGAAACTTTAGACTATACCCAACAAAAACCCAAATCAAAATCAATAATATTGGACCACACTTCAGTAAGTTAGATTAACATGTATATGTATTGGAGTGAGGTTTTCTTTGGGTTTTTTTAAAGTCTGGCATTGTCCAGTCCAATAAGACCTCTGATGCACTCAAATAACCTCAGTAAGAAAAGAAACTGGAGTTTAGCAACTTGTATAAGGCATTGCCCAATCAGACCTGTGTTGTGTATGACAAATGTACACTAGTAACCTCAGAAAATGAACATAAAAAACTTAATTTATCATTGCCCATTGTGACCTTGTGTTGATTGACAAAAATGCACACCAGTAACCTCAATAACTTGAGTAGGAAAGTAAGACTCAGAAACTTAAATTTGTCATTGCCCAATGTGATCCTGTATTGTCTGATATAATTCATAGCAATAACCTTGGTAAAAAAAGTAACTTCAGAAACTTCAATTAGGTATTGTTCAATATGACTCAGTGTTGACTCTAAAAAAAAATGTACACCAGTAACTCAATCAAAATTACTAATATGAGACCACCTCTATTATGGTGACGATGGAATCATGTATTGAGAATTGTGACACAGAGAGGTACAGCTTAAATCAAGGTTAAATGCACCTCTAAAGAATGCCTCTTCAGCCTTCCAAAACATCAGCTTTCTCAACACTTTCATGGTTTTGTATCATCATACTGAATTCTTCTCACAAAAGCAAGGATGAAAACAAGGGTTCATTAGGCATTTATTGATGTGTTCATGTACAAATACAAGATAATTCAGACAAGTACCTGTGAGTTGGATGTGATATTTTATGTTCAGGCTGCTTCAATTACCAAACCAACAGCAAACTCAGTGATAGAAATTTGCCTTCATCAGAATTGTTTAAATAGTTAGTAAAAATGTCTCATATTTGCCATTTTCTGACCTGATGTTGCATGTTGACCCTGTCTTATATTGCAAAACTTAATGGGCAAGTCCAAGCCAAATTTTACTGAAATGTAATAGTAACAATTTTTATCTCTTTTCAGACAATAAGGGCTACTCAGCCCAATAATATAGTGGTGGAACTGTGTCATGGCAGGACTCACATGCTCCAATCGGATGAGACAACTCTCTTTAAGGAAACCATAAACATCAGTCTCAACAAAATTAAATGGGCTTTTAAGGAGGTTTTGGATTACATTTATACACATATTAATTTATATTGTAATTATTTAAATAATTTATTTCAAAACTTAATCTGCAAGAATTCCAAAGAATCTATAGATTTTTCTAAAAAAAATGCAGTTTATTCTTGTCTTCTGCTTTGTTTATAGAACATAAAGCAGTAAAAAGCAAGATATGCAGCCTCATGTAGGTATGTTAAATTTTGGTGCAGAAATGCAATTTTTTTTTTTCCTTTTTAGTGAACTTCGATGTTTGCCCTTGTGACCCTGAAATAATATAGGTTTCTTAAATCTTTCCATTTTTCATAACTCTTTGTAAGGAGCTGCTTGCAAAATTTAAGAACTACCAAAGGATGGTGAAAAAATCTGCTGCTTCCTTTTGTGGAAATCACACTACAATATTGTAAAGAGCAGAGATTGATCTGAGTGTAAATCACACTACAATATTGTAAAGGGCAGAGATTGATCTGAGTGTAAATCACACTACAATATTGTAAAGGGCAGAGATTGATCTGAGTGTAAATCACACTACAATATTGTAAAGGGCAGAGATTGATCTGAATGTAAATCACACTACAATATTGTAAAGGGCAGAGACTGATCTGAGTGTAAATCACACTACAATATTGTAAAGGGCAGAGATTGATCTGAGTGTAAATCACACTACAATATTGTAAAGGGCAGAGACTGACTGATCTGAGTGTAAATCACACTACAACATTGTAAAGGGCAGAGACTGATCTGATCTGAGTGTAAATCACACTACAATATTGTAAAGGGCAGAGACTGATCTAAGTGTAAATCACTACAATATTGTAAAGGGCAGAGACTGATCTGAGTGTAAATCACTACAATATTGTAAAGGGCAGAGACTGACTGATCTAAGTGTAAATCACACTACAATATTGTAAAGGGCAGAGATTGACTGATCTGAGTGTAAATCACACTACAATATTGTAAAGGGCAGAGATTGATCTGAGTGTAAATCACACTACAATATTGTAAAGGGCAGAGATTGATCTGAGTGTAAATCACACTACAATATTGTAAAGGGCAGAGACTGATCTGAGTGTAAATCACACTACAATATTGTAAAGGGCATAGACTGACTGATCTGAGTGTAAATCACACTACAATATTGTAAAGGGTAGAGACTGACTGATCTGAGTGTAAATCACACTACAATATTGTAAAGGTCAGAGACTGATCCGAGTGTCAATCGCACTACATTATTGTAAAGGGCAGAGACTGATCTGAGTGTAAATCGCACTACAATATTGTAAAGGGCAGAGACTGATCTGAGTGTAAAACATTTAACTTGTGAACCACTTTAGGATAGATTGTTTTGAACACCAATCTATTATTACTAGAATGTTCCACACATAAAGGAAATTTCTGAAATTGTAAATATATCTTGTATATAAAATTTCTTGTGGGAAGTTAAAATTTATTCCAAAATAATAGCTTGTGTACAACCCTGTTTCCTTGGAGTATTTTTTACCAACATCTGTACTGTCAGTCACTGTAACAGAACTTCTAATATCAAAATTATTTATCAAATTACCATTTATTAAAGCTATTAAATTACACCCCTATTTTCCGAAACCTTCATACCTTATCCTCAATATCTGATTTTTCGTCTCTTATACTTTTATTGCGGATTTGTAATAAACCTTTTGATACAGTTTTATCATGTAAAATTTTGTTTGTGGTATTATAGAGCCTTTCAGCACTGTTGTGAAGCCAGTCAACCATCCAATCTTCTGTACACTAAGTGCAAGTTATCCACAAGTCATCCACAAAATATGAACCAAGACTGTATTGTGTTGTTTGTTATTTTGTGGAAACTATTTTTCTTCAGTTTCCTTGACCCCTACATCTTCCATAGCTGCAATGAAGTCTATTCACATTTGTATGAGGTATATCATAGAGAACTAATGT